TATATATATATATGTATGTACATATGCATTTTGTAAAATGTACAAGGAACATTAATTAATGGACTATTGCGACACATATTGCAAATTGTTTGAAAATTTCTGGGTCTTGAATTTTACAATGTTTAAGCAACAATTAACATCTGTTGTTTTTTATTTATTTTTTTTAATTTCTGTTTCCCTTCAAGATTGCACAGTTCTTTACTTTTTTTCATATAAGTTTGTAGTTGTTTTTGTTAATGTTTTCCTCTCTTTTTTCTCTGCTCTCAATTAAACATAATATATGTACGCTTCTTTTTGGCGCTGCTAATTGTTTTCAACATATTAGCGCTAGGTTTTTGGTTGTTTTTTTTTTTTCTTTTACTTTTTCTTGTTATTTAACATGTTTTGTTTTGTTTTTCTCATTCTTTATACATACAAGCTTAAGATTAGTTTCGGATTTTTTTTTGTTTGTTTTTTTTTTTTTGTATTTTTAATTTGTATTACGGAAAAGGAATCTGTGGCTAGAGCGTAAAAGTAATCGATCAATGCATTAATTGTAATATCCTGCATACCTCAACGGGCATAAGTCCTTTGCTCCTTGCTGCTGCTGATGTTTGGTTTGTTCGCAGAGTGAAATATTTATATAGAATTTCCACGTGCCATATTCCATATATATGTATGTATATATGATCAGCTCTGTTCCAATTGTTCAACTATTCCTTTGTTACCTCGCCTTTGACCTTTTTGCTTATCATTAAAGTATGTATTTGTGTATTACAATTATTACGAATGATGTTTTAGCTAAAACGACAAATCTTTGCAACATTATTATGTTTATATGTAGATATTTTATGTAAATATTATATGTATGCATGCTCTCGCATGTGTGTGTGTGTGTGTGTGGCTGTGTGTGGGTGTGTATATGGGTGTGTACGTGTGTGTGGCCATGCGAGTCTGTGTGTGTGGGCAAGGGAGCACAGTGTGGCCCCTCTTGCACGTGCTCAGAGCATGCTCTGCCCGCACAACCGGCACAGGCAGCACACCCAGTCACACATACACACATACACACCGCCACGCACATCTGATCCGACAACAGGTATTACTTATTAGTATTACCGACCGTAATCGGCGCCCACACAGAAGCCACCGACTCCTGTTGTCCCTCCCACGCCGTTGCCGTTGCCCTCCGCACTGATTCTTTATCCATGCGCCGCTCCATTGTTGCCCTGACTATGATGCTGATGCGGGTGCGGATGATCGTCGCTGGGTGTGGGCGGCTGATCCCGTCGGGGCGGCATCCGCTCGTTGACCGCATCGAGTCCCTTGGCCTCCGCAAATGAGGTAATCTTGTGGTTGGGCGAGAAGCCCTGCATGGCATTCTTGAGGGACTGCTTGCCGCCGGACAGAGCGCCCAGGGGCAGGGCGCCCGTGGGCGTCAGCCCCTTCAGCTGCAGCACGGACTCGGACTCCTCGCGCAGCACTGAGAAGACGCGCGCCATTTTGCCAATGGCGCGTATCTTGTTGCGGATGACCTCCTTGCGCAGYGCCGCCTCGTCGTCCGACAGCGGCTCCTCGCTCTCCTCGGTCATGAGCTCGTCGTCGGAGCAGATGTTCAGCACGTTCACCAGCATCTCGGTGACCTTCTCGCCGACGAAGGGCAGCGACCAGGTGAACACGTCCATGAAGTTGGGAAGCCAGTAGGGATGCGGCGAGCAATTGAACTGTCGGATGTTCATCACGTTGTTCTCGTACTTGAGTACCGCCGCCTTGTTGTTGTACACGTCGAGATAGTTGGGCGCCGAGAAGATGGTGATCAGCGAGGGGAAACCGGTGGTCTGGCTCTTGCGGTACATGCGGTAGCCGGCGTCCTGCGCCTCGTGCGCCCGTATGATCGACAGCAGATTGTTGTTCTGCAGGAAGTCGCAGCAGGCGGCGTAGCTGTAGAAATACGAACAGCCGCGCACCGAGTTGTGCGTGTAGAAGTCCGAGTTCTTCTCGTTGCCAAAGTCCTCGAGCGGATCGGACCACAGCAGGTCGCACATGGGGCCAAAGGCGGGCGGCTCCTTGAATCTATCCAGCCGCCTAATGTCCTCCAGCTCGTGTATCTCCGGCGACAGTCCGCCGTGCACGCAGAGGAACTGCTGGTTCATCAACGCCGCCAACGGCAGGCAGTCGAACGCATCCATGCACGCGTCGTACACGCGCTCCGAGTATTTGATCTTGCACTCCTGCTTGAAGGTGAAGTACTCGGTCAGATGCCGGCACTCGTGATTGCCGCGCAGCAGGAACAGCGTCTGCGGATACGTGATCTTCAGCGACCACAAATAGAGGACGCACTCAATGCTGAAGTAGCCCCGGTCCACATAGTCGCCCAGGAACAGATACTTTGTTGTTGCCGGCGATCCGCCAATTTCGAATAGCTTCATAAGATCATAGAACTGGCCGTGGATGTCGCCGCAGACGGTGACCGGCGCCTCAATATCAATCATTGTCTTCTCCTGGCGCAGCAGCGTGGCGCCCTCCTGGATGATGCGCAGGGCGGCGCTCTCCTCGATCCGGCCCTCCAGTATGAAATGCTGCTTAAGTACATCGTGGTGCGGCTTGCCGGTGCGCGCATCGAAGACATCGGCGCAGGTTAGCTTTCGGCTGGGTGGGAACGGCACGCTATCGATCACACGCTCCTTTGTGGATATTGTGCTACGTTTTGTGGGGCTCTGTGGCGTGCCGCCGGACGATCCCGAGCCAGCTGCAGCTCCAGTTCCAGCTCCAGCGCCAGCGCCAGCGCCAGCACCCGCTGCACCACCCGCTGTCGTCCCCGTCGCTCCGCTCGCATTCTTTTCATGTGTATTGTTAACGCTGCTGGCAGCTGATGAATTTGATTTTTGATTTTGCTGCTGTGCAGCAGCCGCTGCCGCTGCTGCTGCTGCTGCTGCTGCTGATGACTGCGACTGGCTGCTGTTGCTGTTGTTGCTCTGCGCTAATGGCGAAGACATTTTCCTAGACTTCGACTTTGACTTCGACTCCGACTCCGACTCCGACTCCGACTCCGACTCCGACGACGACGAACGACGACTACAAGTTGGACCAGGCCGTCGCTGCTCCGCCCCCCACGCGCCACGCACTAACGACGCTCCTCAGCTCTGCGGAATGTCCGGCCGGTCAACGGGCTAACGGGGCTAGCGGGCAATACAGTTAACGGGAAACAGCTGACGGCTAACGGTGAGCGGCTAACGTTTGCGTCCTTATCGCAGTCCTTGTGCTTGGCCTTGTCCGTCTCCTTATCCAAATGGCCTGCAATGGAAGTAATGCAAGAAATGTCATTATATATAAAGGTATATATGCGCACAGGTGTACAGCTGTGCTCCTGTATATATTATATTTATATATATCTATCTGTCTATATATATCCCACAAAATCCCATTTATCAAATTGCAATTGCATTTCAAAGTCGTCGTATCAAAATTCAATTAAAATATTTTTACGATGCAAAAACATTCGATTTGATTGCAATTCTCCAATAGGCCAATAACAATTACGTTTGCCCACAACCGCACCAAACCGCCTCCCTCCACCTCCCACCCATGCTCTTCCCCAGTCCCTTTGACATGCCAATTTATATTTATAAGTTTGTAGCTTCAAAAGAGCTATTCAATTGAATTTCATTCACTTAAATTTGATGTAAATGCATTTCCCGTTTTACCCAACGAAAATAGTTCAATGAAGCTGTAAGACTTTATAATTTGATTTAGCAATTATATAAATAGAGTTCATATACTGTATACAGCTGTGTTCATGATAATAGAAGCACTACGAAGCCATCAAGCACTTTATTCATGAGCCAATCTACAGTTCTATTCCCTATATAGTAGCAATGCACTGTAATTGAACTTATTCACACTTTGCCTACATCGATTGCCTCCGTGATATTAAATCTTTATGTGCGTTGATGTCTGTAAGGTTCCCTTTGGGCAGATATATTTTATGGTGTTTTTTTTTTGTATGGAATGAGAACGGAACTAATCGGCTATTACAGATATGATGGGCTATTTATACATTCTGCTTTTTTTTTTAATTAAAATTTTTTTGTTAATTTAAAAAAAAAATGTTTTTCTATATTTGTTTGTAATTTATTTTAGTTT